AACAACAAAAAAACAAACAACCCGATGAAAAAATGGGCAGAGGACATGAACAGACATTTCTCCAAAGAAGATATAAGGATGGCCAATAGACACATGAAAAGATGCTCATCATCACTAATCATTAGGGAAATGCAAATCAAAACTACACTAAGATATCACCTTACACCCGTTAGATTGGCAAAAATATCCAAAACCAAGAGTGACAAATGTTGGAGAGATTGTGGAGAAAAAGGAACCCTCATACACTGTTGGTGGGAATGCAAACTGGTGCAGCCACTATGGAAAACAGTATGGAGATTTCTCAAAAAGTTAAAAATAGAAATACCTTATGACCCAGCCGTCCCACTACTGGGTATCTATCCTAAGAACCTGAAATCAGCAATTCCAAGAGTCCCATGCACCCCTATGTTCATCGCAGCATTATTTACAATAGCCAAGAGGTGGAACCAACCTAAGTGCCCAGCAGCTGATGATTGGATAAAGAAGATATGGTATATATACACAATGGAATACTACTCAGCCATAAAAAAGGACAAAATCGTCCCATTCGCATCAACATGGATGGACCTTGAGGGTATTATGTTAAGCGAAATAAGCCAGACAGAGAAAGACGAACTCTATATGACTCCACTCATAGGTGGAAGTTAACATATTGACAAGGAGAACTGATCGGTGGTTACCAGGGAAAAGGGGGTGGTGGGGGGAGGGCACAAGGGTGAAGTGGTGTACCCACAACATGACTAACAATAATGTACAACTGAAATCTCACAAGGTTGTAATCTATCAGAATCTTAATAAAAGAAAAAATTGCAGGACATCCAAAGCTGTTTATGTGTTTAAAAAGGAGAAGTCTTGACAACAGAGACTGAAGACAGTGTGGGTGAGAGCTGAAAGTTGTTCTCTTTGGGTTGGGAATAAATGGGTGGGAATAAAACGATCTTTGATCACAAAAAAAAAAATACCTTAAGGGTACAAAAATAATAAAAACATGCTTAGTCTCAAATATTTACAATCCAGTGGGAAAAGACAAATAGATCAACTTAATATAAAAGAGAACGAAATGTTAACACCAAATATTGTGGAAATGGTTAAAAAAAAATTTCTTTGACGTATTTGACCAAGTATTCACAGAGAAGGCAGCATTTGAGCTAACTCTTGAAGGAAACAGGACGAAAGATATTTTTCAGGCTCAGCTAACAATGGTACAGAGACACAGAGGTACAGAGAATTGACAATGTATTTCACATTATATGAGGTATGAAAGATTGCATATGATCAGAATTTAGTATGCGTGGATGGTTAGAGAGAGGGCCATAGAGAGGGAGAACAGATCCTGAAGGGATTTGACAAAAACTATTCAGAAGATAGACTTATGGTATAAACTAGAACTATGTCGGTACTGTTAATAAACGAAGGAAGAGAAAGATACTACAGAATTTTAAAGAATAGGGATTAGAGGCAGACAATATAGTAGAAAAGTATCAGGATTTAGAATTAAATATAGATCTGGGCTACAATCCCAGCTCTATCCCTTACTAACAATAACCTTTTTCTAAATTGCAATTTCCATATTTGGCAAATGGGGATAATACGTCATTACTGCAATAAAGCCTTAATATGATGAAAAATGTAAAGTGTCCCATGTATTCTTTCAATTAACGTGTAGTCAAACGTCAGTAATTTCCTTCTCATAATAAATGGTAGAATGTGGGAGACGACGGGGAAGAAGTCAAGATACGCAGCCTCAGTGACTGGGAAGAGTAAGCCATGAACTAAAGAAGGAATGTAAGAGAATAGAAAGGAAGCAGGAGATTTGGAGAATATAAAAATACATTGAGTTTTAGACATGTCATATTTTCAATGATAGTGGGATATATCACTACATGCAAAGATATCAGAAGGCAGGAAAAATTCAAGTCCATCTCAGACAGTGCTAACAGAAATAAAATTTTAGGAATCTTAGGTATACAGGGGAAAGCAAGAAACAAGTGAGCTGATAACAGGAGCTCACAAGGAGCTGGGGATGAAACAAAGAGTAAAAAACGCAAAGAGAAGAGAAAAACAAAAGGTGGCCAAGAGTATTAAGTATTGGATAAAACTGGTGGCTTGGCAATTAGGGAGATCTCTGACAAACTGACAGCAGTTTCAACAAAATTTTGATGACACCGAACTGCAGGCATTCAAGAAATAAATGGGTAGTAAAGAAATCAGGGAAAAGAACAGAATCTATTCCAAGGGTCCCCAAGTAAGAACTCCACAAACATAGTAATGGAGATCAGATGGGCATTATGAATATTTCAAACAGCCATATGAAAAATAAATTTAGCCTCCATCGAGCTACAACAGATTAAGGAAAATACTAAGTTTCTTTGAGTCTCTAATCAGCATACTATATATACGTACATTTTTTTAAAATGAAAGTATGAATCACTGTTTTACAAATGTCATGTGCTCAGTAAAAGACAGGCTTGGTAGAAAATAAATAGAAAGATTATTAAGTACTAAAAGATTGGGAATCATGGGGCTCTTGAAAAAATCCAGCACCAAAGAGAAATGCAATTATGAATGATTCGGGTAGAAACCTTCGGAGAAAGTTTCTGATGTTGTTTTAAGGCTTTTTGTTTGCTGGTTAGTTGGTTGGTTTTCTTTTGTTTTCAGAAGAGAAAAAACTTCTAAAGATGTTAGGTCAGGATTAAGAAATCAATGTAAAGAAATGTTTAAAGTTCCAGAAAGAAAGGCAGTTAAAACATCACTGAGAAGAAGATGAATCACAAGAAAAAAGGACTGACCTTACAAATACTACAGAGTTATAGATCAGTTGCAGTCCATGTTTGGAAAACATGGGTTCAAATTTCTGCTCCTCTACTGACTACTGTTTAACATCACTTAGCGTTTCTGAGGACGTTTCTCCATTTAACAGTAACATCTGTCCCATAAGCTATGAGGAAGACCAAAAGACATAATACATGTAAGGAGCTTAGCACAGTGCCTGGCACACAGTAACTGTTTAAGAAACACAGCTATAATTACTAAAATAAAATATAGATACATATCTCTCTGACCTTCAGATTGAGAAGACCCAAGCTCTAAGGAAAAGAAACAAATGAAACAGGAAAGATTTATATATCTGGCTACACATCCTTAAAAATTTTTTATGTGAAAAATATAAAATATTTTTAAGTAAGCATCATACAAAACTAAAAAAAAAGGTATAGAATTGATTTATATAAATTATTTTTCCTATACAAAAGAAGATAAAAACCCCAACAGGGAAAAAAATGTACCGACGTAATCTTTGCTCTGCATAAACAACACGAGGTACCCAATTTAGGAATTCACAAAGATAGCAATGGAGACCAGATGGATATTTTTCAATACTTCAACATGTGACTGATAACGTGAGGTATTTTGACCCTCTGATATTAGACCAAGCTAATAAGGCATTCTTTATGTCCTTAAAAGAAAATAAGTATTTGAAGCATAAAATAATAGTACTATTTGAAACACCAGATTCCGATAACACCAATTCAATCTTTCGCACACTGAATGCAAATAAATCTACTAGAAGCTGTTGTACTTAAAGCAGAATTCTAACATACACATTCTTGTACTAACCTAATGATTTTGGAAGCTGTGCTAAAAAAGAGGTGCCTCAAAAGTGCCGCTGGGATAAGCGGGGCAGTTGTGGGGAAGACGAGTGGCTACACCTCTGCATTTAGCAGTGTTTCACCCCACAACCTACAAGCAGTTCCAGCTCCATCTGTATCTGTTCTTATTAAGTTGGGGTCCAATTTATTTTCAACCTTTCTTTTTAAAAGTGAAAAATAATTCTAACAATCCCCATCAAATCTCCCTCTTGCTGATTTCAAAGATAAAAATTCAGTAAACTATATCGATATTCTTAATTGACATATTCAAAGCTTTCCAATGAAATTTCAAGTATATGATTATGTGTAGCCTCCCCCACTCGAGTTTTTCCTTATTTTTAGAAAAATACTACCAAAATTTCAGTTGGGGTAAATACCATGTTTTGCGTTATTTTTGGAATAATTTCTTTATTTCTGTGCCCAAGGCAACATTAGTAACAGATATTGCTATGTTGTTAATACTGAACAAACCAAAATGTTGTGGAACCCCTTCAATAATACACGGTTGATGAAGAAATAAAACCAAGTTGTTAACCCTGCTATATCTTTTCTGCATGTGGTACGTATACGTGGGATTATAGGCTTTTGGCTAGCAGCATATTAAAAACACCAATTTACTCAGAAAGTTTGGCAGGAAAGATACTCTACCTCCAGCTAAACTAAAATTTTGATTAACAGAACTATATTATACAATTAACAATTTTTAAAAATGAGAAAATAATAACTATAATCCAAATTAAAATCGAATATAATTCAAATTATTTTGCAGGTACTTCAGAATCTTATACAAAAGCTAGCCTTTGAGTTATAAAAGTTCATTTTCATTATTCAGCACTGATAAGGCAGAATCGAAGACTGAAATGTATCTGTAATAACTATGACAACATACTACTCAAGTTAGTTTTAGAACCAATACTTGATAGGTTCGTTTACACATAATTTTTATTTACTAGTGAAAATGTACAAAAGACAACATATGGAGCTTCCTGCTGTTCAGATTCCAAATAAATTAGATTTTCTGTAATAAATTTTATAATATGACTTTTGAATGTAGTACCCTGAATAACTTTGTGTACTAAAAATAATTGAACCTAACTGTTAAGAAAATCCAAAAAGGAAAAACTAAATTTAATAAAAGAAAAGGAAAATATACCACAAGCAGAGAAAGCTCAAAAAGCCACCAAACAAAATCATTTAGTTGGTTAACGGACCACTAATCTTAACTTTGATTGAAAAAAAAATCATGTAAGTGTATCAGCTAAGCCATCCAATCTCACACCCACCACCCCACACAGACACAGAAAGCAGCCAAGATATTCACTTTCAAAAAATGTCTCATAAAATGATTTTTACCTGTAAATTGTTTTCTGTGACTCTGTTCCACCAAACCATATCGATGGGTACTCCTGATTTACACCTGTCAGCAAGGCAGCCAATAGGGTTCTTTGCTTTTCGCGCCTTTGATCCCATCGGATTTCCATCGGAATAGGAAACAAGTAAAATTTCTAAGACACTCCCTCTAATGTCCTTATCACTACCCGCTATTTCCCACCCCCGCCCCCGATACACACCTCCAAAATACCCCACAGTCCTAACAGGCTGAACAACATTATATAAAGCAACAGATGTTTTAGAGAAATACATTACAATCTGATTTTATAAGACTTTAATAAATAGAAATTAACTAATCAGCAAAGTAAATGCCTTGCAAAATTTTTTCCACTGGCACTTACCTATTCTCACTGCAATATGAAGAAATGGCTTCAAGGGCACCAAATACAGGTAAAAAAATTATCCAAACTGTTTTCTTTTTCTGCGTCCCATCTCACTTATCTTTTTCCTACTGAGAACTACCCCACCTAAAAGCAGCAGCTAATTCCTAAGGAATGGATTTTCTAAATTTTTAATATTCTATGCACATTAGGCCAGAGTACAAATCACTCTGTCTTCAGTGGGCATTCAACTTAAAGTACTCAATGAAAAGAAATAACTTCAAACTTTAAAAAAAAAGTACACAAATCTCATTGGTCTTATAAATTCAGTAATTTGAACAGACTGATATTGAATAAATTGCCCAATAAAAGCATAAATTCATTGGCTAACATTATAACAAACTTAGTAAGTGATCTTAATAGTGGTTGGCAGGGCTGTTTTATACATGAAAGTTAAGGACATGTTCCATCATCTTACTTCTCTTAATCATAGCAAATTTGCACTAAATTGCATCTTAAAGGGAATTTGTATGTATTTTTATCCCTTTAGCGAATACTGATTCATTTTTTAGAAGGTTATCTAATTTAAGACCTGAAATAAGAAAATCTATGTTTACTCGTTCTGTCACAAGACTGCTGAAGCAAATACTTAAAAGTAACTTTCTTGCAAAAAGGTGTCATAGCCAGAGAAATATATAAAATACATAAAAAACAATTTTTCCAGTATAAAGACAACCAGTTTGAGGAAAAGATTTGATTTCTAAATTTCAAAATGACCTTACAAATAATGGCTATGGAAATTATTCTACGCACATTAGATTCTCCACTCCACAAATGGGCTCTGCCGTGTTGTCTTGATTTAAGGAGGAAAAAGCCATTAAACTTGCATAAGAAAGGTAACTAGACTACCTACCTACCCGTTATTTATAGCAATGGACAATGTTTCATGGAGCTAAAATATTTTCACCTCTATGCAATCTTGGACTGATTCAATTACCCTCTATGTCTACTCACAAGCAATTTTTTGGGGATGATAATAAAAACGTACCCTTTGGAACCATATTATAAAGGAAAGAATTTTAGAGTAAGTGATTTCTAGTAACGTAGCTCACAACTGTAAGGCTCTGACACACAGCAAAAATAAGAGAATCTTCATTAAGCCTTCACTAATTTAAAATTTATAATTCAGAAAACGTCTGAGCTAAGAACTATCATAAAATTTCAACATATCAAAGAATACTTATTTAAACAAAATCACAACCTGTCAAACAGAACTTATACAAGGACACCTAAATTCCAGTCATATATTCGAAAGCAAAAAAATTATTATTTTAAAAGTTCTTCTGTTACTCAGATCCTTCACAAATTCAGACTTGCTTTGGATCCGGTTATTACAATTAGTGCAATTAATTTTCTTATAATAGTGCATTAAGCAACACAGAAAAAAGGTTTTATATAAATCCAATGTATCATTCCTCCTCCCCAATAGCTCTCCTCATATGTTTCTTATTTTCCCAAAGACGAACCCATCACTCCTCTCCATCACCCCATCCCCACAAAAACCTACAATTAGCCTAAGGCCTTTCCTCTTGGGTAGTAGGGATCCCCTAACACATGCCATTGTAGATTTAAGTTTCTTCAGGAAAGTGCCAGAGATTAAAGTCTAATCCAAAAGTAAAACCTTCTATGTGATTCTGAATGAAAAGCCCTAAGGTACCAATACCATTTAAAACAACATTGTAAGCAAGAGAAGACAAAATAACATCAGAAAAGAGATGGTGGCAAGAGAAAGTATGATGGTGAGGCAAAAAGATATAACATAGACGTCTCACTGCATATGCTAATTATAGTAAAATCTCATCTGTAAGCAAATTTCCAAATTACTTGAACTAGTATTTATTCCTTGAAGAAAAAATGTACTTTCTTTTTCTTTCTTTTTTTGGTGAGGAAGATTGGCCCTGAGCTAATATCTGTGCCAATCTTCCTCTATTTTGTATGTGGGACACCACCACAGCATGGCTTGATGAGTAGCATGTAGGTCTACACCTGGGATTCAAACTTATGAACACCAAACTGCTGAAACAGAGCATGCAAACTTAACCACTACACGACCAGGCTGGCCCCAAAATGTATTTTCAACTAAACATCTGAGAGCCTACTTTGTATCAGTAACCATCCTAAGTACTTGGAATACAATAATGCATAAAACACACACCTAGTAGGTAACAAAGTCACGCAAAGAGAACATCCTCGTTGTGATATAACAAATGCATATATAATCAAGGTACCAGTAGAGCAGAGACAAAGAAGGTTTCACAGAGAAGGCAAATGCCTGAGCAGTTTTGAAAGAGGAGTAAGTGTGCCTAGATAGAAAAAAAGAGTGAGAGTGAGAGAAAGATGTATTGTAAGCTAGGAAAACCGTATACACAGAGGCATGTGGGCACTGCGGTTTTCAGGAAAAACCACAGGTATTCGGTCTACCATTAGTAGAGGGCCAACCGTGACAGCAAAAGATGAGGCTTGAAAGCAATAACAAACCATAAATTGTTTTATATCCCACGCCAAGGAGTTTGGACTTCACTCCACGTGCAGTGGGGAACTCCTGAAAGCTTACGAATGAGAAATCAACTGAAAATAGGTAGACAAATTAATGCACTCTGGCAGCAGTCCAAGTTAGGTTTTCGCAACCTTAGCATTACAGACTTTGGATAATTCTTTGTTACGAAGCCTGTCCTGTGATTTGGAGATGTTTAGCAGCATCCATGGCCTCGATCCATAGATGCCAGTGGCACCAAAGCCCCAGTTGTGACAACCAAAACTATCTTCAATGCCCTCTGGAAGCAGGGGGACAAAACTGCCCCCATGTGAGAATCACTGTCTAGATGAAGGATGTGAACTCAAGGAAACTGCAATGGAAATGGAGAGCTAAGGCCTGGCTGGGGAAAGATCTGCTGGGTTAAAAACAACTATTGGTGGGGCCAGCCCCATCACATACTGGTTAAGCTCAATATGCTCCGCTTCAGCGGCCTGGGCTCACAGGTTTGGATCCTGGTGTGGACCTGCTCCACTCACCAGCCATGCTGTGGCAGTGACCCACATCAAGTGGAGGAATACTGGCATAGATGTTAGCTCAGGACTAATCTTCCCCAAGCAAAAAAGGAGGAAGATTGGCAAGAGAGGTTAGCTCAGGGCTCATCTTCCTCAGCAAAAAATAAATAAAATAACCAACTATTGGTGAGTAACTGAAAGTAGGAGGTAAGGGAAATGGAAGAGTCAAATGAAAGATGAGGAAATAAAAGAGGCAAATGAAATTTTACAGGAAATGTTTATTTACCCCTGAAGTTATTCCCCTCGAGTTTTCCGAGTTCGGGAAGATCCAAACTCCTCCCCTTGCCCTTAGCTTCCAGCAATCGTTTCCTAGATCAATCTTGAGAATGTGATGATCAAAAAAAACAGTAAGTTCCCTTGTTGATCCTCCACCCCTGACAGCCTTGCCAGTCCTGGTTATTATGGAATGGAAGCATTTTAAAATGTCACGTCCTATTGGTAAATAACCAGCTTTTCTGCTCCACCTCCTAGTAAGTTAGTATTACACATCAAAATTCTCAATCTTTTTGTTTCTGTGGTAAAATATTCAGCAGAGCATGTAACTTTTATTTCTCTCTCTCTAATACATACAATTTTTACTTTAAGTCTGAAGATTCACTACAAAAGTGATTTTTATCATTCTTCACAAAATCTAAATAAACAGCACAATAAGATAGTATAGTTGAAAATAGTCTTACCCTTTTTATTGGGCATTTAAAAAAAAAAAAACAGCCTAGGGCTTAAACAAAAGCTCCCAGGACAAGAAAAAGTTTGAGAATGTATTCTAGATTAGCACTTCTCAAACTGTAATGAACAGATGCATCTTCTGAAGATCTTGTTAAAATAAAGATTCTGATTTGGTAGGCCTAGAGTGAGACCTGAGAGTCTGCATTTCTAAAAGGGTCCCCAGACTGCTAGCACTGCTGGTCTGGTGACCACACTTTGACTAGTAAAGTTCTAGAGAATGTCAGAGAAAAGACCTGGATAAGAAACAAGCAGCAGTCCAAACAGAAATTGGGGGCTCTCTCCACAATGAAAAGGGACAGGGGTTCAATAGCTCAACATCACCTCGTTATAGCTTGCTCTACATACTCAGAGCCTTAAAGATCATCACTCATAGCCCCTAAGGCCCTGGTTCCTCAAAACCTCTTACCCTAACCCGCTAAAAGCTCATTCTAAATGTTTAGGACTAACGGAAGTCTGCTCTCCTTCCTAACAAATGAGATAAGTCTCTAGACTACGTCAAAAGAAAGAACAGTAAAAGTAAATTTTTAGGACTGTTTTAGTTGAAGAGTCTAAATGTGTACACTTTTTTTTTTTTCCATTCACTCATTCACTCAACATTTCAGCATAAGGCTCTCTGCCCTTCCTAGAAATACAACGATAAAATCTATTCTCTTCCCCTAAAAAGTTCACAGTCTGGCAAAAGAAAAATCTATAAATACCACTGCTTTTCTAGAAAATGTAGTTAAAGCTGCCAAGTAATAGACCAATTTTCAGTGCACAATTCTTCTGCTAAATTGCATAACAGCATCAGCTTGACTAATGCTTCACATTACCAGCATGTTATTGTGCCCTCATAATCTACTCATTAGTAATAAACTAGAGAAATCTAATTGTTATTCTAAGACGAAAAGTTTCCAATGCCCCTGAAGTTTAAGAATCCCCCTTTGAACATCAAAAACATAGTAACTCTGCT